AGCCAGAGTGGGAATACCCCCGTAATAAGCGAGGGGGGACGATCACCATCATCATCTTCGACCGAGACCGGCCCGGGCTGAATGATAAGCAGGTGCTGGACGATACCTTCATGTCAACCATCATAGGTTGCGCAGGGGAGACTTTCTCCGAGTGCAGCACCACCCTCAACGGCGTTATGCTTAAGCTTCGGCCTAACAAACCATACACAATGCAGCTTTGGATGTCTCACTCAGAGCTTAACAAACTCAAAGCCTTCGCGAACAGCCTGCGGGAGTCATTGAGTAAGGTCATGAAGGATACAAAGGCACTCCAGAAAATGGAGTACTATTCTCATCATCGTTCTCAAGTGGCAAGTAATAGCCTAGCGTCACGGCTAAAGACAAAGCCAAAGGTATCACCTGATTACGTTTTTTGAGGCCAAAACCCGATAAAAATGTAAATTAAGAGAATATAAATTTAAGAAAAAGGTGATTAGGAAGGGGATCTGAAAGCCATTTGATAGATCTTTGGAAAAGAAGTAACTGCACACCGGCGTATTACGCATTTACGTACCCTTCGATTTCTTTCTTCAGTTTAAAGTCTATACCATAGAGACTTTATTTGGAATTTTCTTTTCATTCTCTCTTTTACTACATTTTCTTCATGCTGGTTAACTACAATATTGTGAGAAGATAAGTGGGTTTGTGGTGTGGACGAGTAGCATTTCTTTTGATATCTTTCGCCACCGTCCCTTCATTTATATACATATACATGTATATACCTCACACTGTGATTGTGTTCTCTTTTCACTTCATATATATTTTTCCTTTCTTTAATAAGGAGGAGACAAGAACCAGAAATGGAAAAACACCGGAGACCCTTTCCTCAACGACATGTTTCCCTGTTTCCTTTCTGAAAATGTCTTTTCTCAATTTTTGGCCACGTTGTGGGAAAGGTGTTCGGAATAACAAAGTGGATTCGAACATTATGCTGAGTGAAACGGTGAAAATAAAACCGGAAACTGTTCGCAAAATGTTCCTTATCCTTTCTATGTTTCTTTTTATTATAAATAAAACACCTTAGAAACAATGTTGTGGAATAACTTTTACTTTACGTGTTTGAAATGCTTGCAAGGGAAACGGAAAATACGAAGAATATTGAGGATAGTGTAAAAGGAAAAGGAAGGAACTTCACCAGAGGCGCACTCGTTTTTTAAAAAGGATTTAGGTGCTGCAAGGATGCTTTTGATTTCCATTTTAGATCAGAGGCTTTTTTAGTTTCTAGTTTTCCCTAGTATTTTTTTTGGCTTTTATAGGTTACTTATCAGCATTATGAGTATCTTAATGATTTTTTTGGGGTGCTAATCAAGCCTCTTTCTATGCAAGAATAAGGATCTTGTATAAGAATAATTGGGATAATCACTGTAATCTTAAACGGGGAAGGATATTTAAATATATCAACTAATTAAGAATATATGATGTTTAAATAATGAAATTCGATGCATGTGTTGAAAAGTTGTTGAATAGAATATGCTATCATTAGGATCATCATGAAATTTTGTAATTTTTCGAAAGTAAATATTACATCGTGCCTTACTTTACTGTTAAGGAATTTGAAGACTACAAAGCACACTGAATAGGGTTAAGGAATGAATTATAAGTCTTCCATACTTCATAGGGCTGGAACATTTTTTGGTTAAAATTTCCTTTCCTCGATTTGAACGTGCAAGTGATTAGTTTTCTTCTGGAGATGGTTTGTGAAGTGTTTAGAAAACTTTGTTCCTAGTTGAGCTTTCTGAGAATTGTGCAAGAAAACATGTTTTCTGATGGACCCTCCTAGCAGGGTGGAAAAAAAAACTCAAGGGTAATTTCATCTTTCGCCAAAAAAAGTACCTTAAAGGGAAGGGCCCCGATGAAATGCATTTTGAGTTCATCTTTCTCGACGATCTTGAGATGATTTGTGTTAACTTGAATGATTGAACCACGTCGTACACGAAACCTTTTTGAATTTGCTATCGGTCTACATGATAGATAGGACGAAAGGTATTAGAGTGCTAAAGACATCATGATAAAAATGTTCAACCTATTTACGCTACACAAATTCCCATTTTTCTGGTAGAACTTATTCGACCCCATTAGGGTAACATGATTTTTTGATTGTACCTACTCTTATACTACTTTATTGGAAATCATCCATGCTTTACCAAGTCTCATGTCAAGAAAGAATAATAAAAATAAACCAACATGTTGTAAGCTTATTTTTCTTACAGTGCTTTATCTTTTTGATGGTATTTCGGAGACTGTGAGCGTTGTTGCAATGCATTACCCTTCTTTAGATACTCCCATAAAATTCTTTCCCTAATAGATTAAATCTTAGCACTTCCTAAAATAAAATTTTAAAAAGTATATTTCTATTACCAAAGAAATACATACACCGGGTGAGTGCCACCAATCTCAACGCTTCAGATA